TGTGTGTGTGTAATGAGGAAGACACCTTATTTTTTCCACCCCAGTAGATCCTTTACTCAACAAATATGGTTCAGAAAATTGACTTTTCCCTATTGGTCTGAAATGCTACCTTTATCACAAGCTAAATTAATTTATATCTGTTTTGTTTTATTTATCTTTTTGTCAGTTCTTTTGCCAGTATTGAATTGTTTTAATTATTACAGATTTAAGGTTAATTTGCCATAAGATAGGTACATTTCCCTTAGTAATTTTATTTTCTTTGTTTCATTTTTTAACTATTTATGTTGATTTGTTTTGCCAAGATTAACTTGAGAATGAACTTAAATTCCTAAAATATTCTTACAATTTTTATGGAAATTGCATTAAATTTACAATACTTAGTCTTCATTTTCAGAAAAGTATTACATCTCTCAATTATTCAGATTAATTCTATGTCTTCAATAACCTTTTATAGTTTTTTAAATAAAGAACTTATCTATTTACTGTTAAATTTATTCCTAGGTACTTAAAATTTTTGTTGCTGTTTTGATTGGAATCTGTCTTCCATTACATGTTTAATTATGTTGTAAAATATTGTGAAAGGTTTCAAGATCCATGTACCCACCATTAGATTTAACAAATGTTAATATTTTTCTACATTTGCTTCAGATCCTGTTCTTTAAAAAAATAAAGAACTGATAGCTACAGTAATCAAGACAGTGTGGTATTGAAAAAAGGAAAGAGCAATTGATCAATGCAACAGAATACAATGTCTAAATATAGACCCAATACATATAAGCAAATGGTTTTGTCAAGGGGCCAGCATGGCTGAGCAGGAAAGCAAGGCTCTTCAATGAGCGCTACTCTCACAAGTAGGGGTCGTCGGTTCAAGCTGTGTCACAGACCTAACTGTAAAAGTCAACACGACAGAACTATGAGAAGAAAGTGCAGGAGGGTCCATTTGTAACCTTGGGGTAGGCACAGATTTCTCAGGGCACAAAAAAAGCAATAGCCACAAAAGAAGAAAAAGGATAATTTGGACTTCATCAAAATTCAAAACTTATGCTCATCAAAATTATCATCAAGAAAATGAATGGGCAAACCACAAACTGGTAGAAAATATTCACAGCGCATACAATTGGCAAATGAGTTGTATCCAGAATATGTAAAGAACCCTGCAACCCAATAATAAAGAGACAAATAGTCAACCTTTTTTTTTTTCTAATGGGCAAAGACTCGAAGAGACACTTTACGAAAACAATATACAAATGATCGATAAGCACATGAAAGGCTTCTTAACATCATTCACCATCGAGGACATATACCTTCTAGAATGGCTGAGAAAGGCTGATAATGGAGAATATTGGGAGGATTATGAGACAAGTAGAGCCTGTTACACTGCCGGTGGGAGTGGAAAACGCTACAACTACTTTGGGAAGCTGTACTACAGTTTCTTAAAAAGTTAAATATATATATATAATTAATTAATTAATTAATCCCCCCCCGCCCCCCATGACCCAGCAGTTTTCCTTTCAGGTATTTACTCAAAAGAAACTAAAAATACATATCTGCCAAAAGCCTTGTAGAAGAATGTTCAAACCTTATTGGTAACAGCCAGAGACTGGAAGTAACCCAGTTCATCGACAGAATGGATAAAGAAACTGCCACAGCTCTAGAACGGGATACTATTCAACTGTAAAAAGAGAGAAACCACATGCAACAGCATGGTGAATCTCAAAAATATGATGCTGAGTGAAAGAATCCAGACCAAAAAAGTACAGCTGTGGGGTTCCCTTGCTATGAGAGTCTAGAGTAATAACCCACCATGATAGAAGTCAGCCCCGATGTCGCCTCTGGGGTGGGGAGTGCACTGAGGAGGGAAAGAGTTTTCTGGGGTGACGGAAAGGTGCCTCGCCTTTTCTTCCCTGCGTGCGTTATTGAACTATTCCGTCCGGAAACTGGCTGGCACCCTCAAATGGGGCAGTTGCAGAGACTACAGTGATGATGGTTGACAGGCAATTTACGCCGGGTGGGCAAGGCAGAGTACCCACAGACGGAGGGAGGGCCAGGCACTCGTGGCACTGGGAGTCTGCCCCAGAGAGCAAGGAAACAGAGCAGGACAGGGACCTGGGGTGATCGGAAAAGGAGGGACTGCCCCACCTCCACCCCAACCTCTCCTCCTGCTGTGGTTCCTCCCAAACTGAACCCAGAGAGGTCAGGTCAGCCTTCAGGGACAGAGGGCAGAGGTGAACTGAGGAAGGTGGGGGTTGGATCTTGGGGGGTTCCTGCACTGCACCCACTGGGGCACCGCCATAGCACCACTTCCCCACTTGGCTGTAAGTTCTTGGGGGAACAGCCATGGTCATTGGTTACATATTGCTTTCATGCTACAATGGCATAGTTGAGTCTTTTAGGGAGGGCGCAGCTCAGCGTGGCCCACGCGGGGATCGAACCAGCAACCTTGGTGTTATCAGCACCACACTCTAACCAACCGAGCTAACCGGCCACCCCTGGCTGTCAGTTCTTGGGGAAGTGTCTTGTCTTCAGTAAGACTGCAGAGTTGCCCTGGGTAGGACTGTGACTGCTCAGGCCACGAGCCCTGGCCAGCACCTAGCTGTGTGCTGCGTGCTGGACTCCCTCCTCAGGCCAAACCCCAGGGCACCTCCTCTAATGCCCAGCCCCTCCCCCGGCTTCATGTGCAGGCTGACAACAGATTCCATGCCCGAGTCACTGGGGAGCCCTCAGCCTGCTTTCTTCCACCCTTCACGCAGCTCGAGGTGGACCGGGGTGTCCTGATTTACTAGCCCCACCTAACAAACAACACAGTTGTAACACAGAGAGGGACAGCCCTTCCCATTGTCCCTGCACTCTGCAAGCCTGACGCAGCTCAAAGCTTACCGGGTCTTCGTGGATGCATATTGGAGAAAACGCAGCAGAGGGGCCATGAGACGTGTGTGCTGGGGACTTGGTTGACTTTTAGAGTCAGCACTTCCTTCTGGTCTGGAAGCAGCTGCTCTGCGGACATGGGTCCCCACCATGGGCTCTGGCCCCATCGCAGTCGTCCGACTGCCAGCTGCTGCTGCTGGCCAGACACTGAGTCAGCAACCCGCCGCCGGTCGAACCCTGCAGAGCTGTGTACACGCGGTGCAGGTCCCTGGGACCTCACCAATCTTCACCCCTTGCTGAGTGGGGTCTCCCGGCTCTGCTCTGTCCCACCCGGGCTCCAGGGTCCGAGTCTGCGATCCAGCAGTGCCTCTCCTGCTGGCGACTTCACTCCTTCATGACACTTTATAACACCGGTCCTACCTCCTGGGTGACTACAGTGAGGTGAGATCAGGAATTGTGAAGGGGCAGGGTCCCCAGCCCTGCCCATTCTCCAGCCAAGAGCTTCATTAATTAAAGCCTGGGTGGGCCAGCCCCCCCAACCTGCTTCTCATCATTCCCCAAAAGCTGCCTGGCCCCCTGTGGCTCTGGCCCCTGAAAAGCTACTGGAGTCCTAGAAAGTGTGCTCAGCCAGGGGTCTGGCCCGGGCTGACCTCAGGCACCGTCTGACCCTCAGGAGCCTTTTCCAGTCTCTCAGCCTTGGTTTCTTCATCCACAAAATGGGGGTGATAATTGTGCCTCCCTGTGCAGGAAGGCGTGCGAGAACCGAGCTCAGTTATTCAAAAGTTAGAACTTTGCAAATTCTACATCGTGATGCAGATGCTGTGAGGGCCCAGGTTCCTGCTGCGAAGCAGGAGTCGGTGTCTCTGGGCTGCCTGCCTGGCTGGGCTCTGTGTTCCAACGCGGCTTGTCCAGCAGGAGCCTCCCGTCAGCGTAGCTCCGGCCAGGCCAGCCCGGCCTCAGGTCAGCCTGGTCGAGAGTCCCAGCCTTTGCACCTGAGCCTCCAGCCGGCTCCTGGGCCCCAGGCCCACTGCACATTCTGGCCAGTACCTGGGGCTCTGTGGGCCTCCTTCCACTCCATGCTGACTGAGGCTGGTGCCTGGGCTCCACTCCCCCTTGGCCGCCCCACACTGCGCGGGAAACCTGTCCACACTGTGGCTGAGGTTCCCGAGTGCTCTGCACGTGTGCTGGCCCGCCAGTCTGGGGACTGCCTCACTCGCCTGCCCAGGACTGCACCCAGCCAACCTGGTTCTCAGACAACTCTCACACTGCCTGACGGCACATTTGTTTTATTCTTTCCCCAAACCCCAAGGAAGGCATTGTCCCCGCTTTAAACACGGACAGGAGTCTCCCAGAGGATAGGACATATGAGAACTCAGAGATGGGAATGTCCCACCTAGTGGTGAAGACAGAAAGGCGGCATGGAGGAGGCATCTTAGAGGGGCTTGAGAGGGCAACAAATCTCAGTCTGAGGGAAAGGCCGCAGCAGCTGGAGAGAAAGTGTGACTTTCAGCTGGGTGGCTGAGGCCGCAGTGGTGCAGCTGGGAGGGGACGCCTAGAGGGCCTGTGGGGGCCAGGTGGGCAAGGGGCCTCAGCCAGATGGCGGACTCTGTGTGCAGGATGCAGAGTCCAGATCAGGGAAACTTCTCACACAGGTCACTCTTGGGGTCTGGACCTGCTTAGCTGCTGAGCAAAGTTGTGAGGAAAAGGGTCCTGGCTGGGCCAGCAGGACACCGGCGCGCTGGCTCGGAGCCAGTCCCTCTCATTAGCCCATCTTGGCCTCAGTATCCCCATGTGTAAAATACAGCTTTGGACCCCTAAGGGCCTTCCAGCGCTGGATCTGGAAGCCCAGCGCGATGCAGCTCAAGCTCACAGAGGACTCCCCCAACCCCCGCGGGGTGGCTCCACTTCGGTGTCCGGGCTCCGGACTCGGCAGGCTGCGGTGGTTTCAGCCTGACGCCCCTGCACCAGAGCCTTTCGACCCCGCGCATCAGGCTGGACACGCCCCGCCGTTGCTATGGCAGCGGCGTTGCCCGGCAGCGCAGAGGCCTGGAGTTTGGCTACCGGGGGGTTGCCACGGCAACTAGGCGGGCCATCCAGGGGCGGGGCTTCCAGGGGGCGGAGCTCCTGTGGGCCCGGGCCCGTGTTGAGCAGACGTTCCAGAGCTCGGAGCCTGCTTCCCGGGCCAGCCTGGCGTGGTCCCCGCCGGGGCGGTGAGCGCCGGCGGAGGTGCCCGGGGCCCGGCCGTTCCCGATGGGGCGGAGACCGCACAGTGCGGGCTGGGGCCGAGGCTGCGCAGCCTCCTGTGCACTCCACGGCCGTCCGCTTGGGGCCCCCCAGGGCTCCCGCCCGGCTTTGCAGGCAGGGACTCCGTAATCGGGGGCAGCCTCACAACCCACCGCTCCCCCAGCTGTCCAGGCACCACTTCTGCTCAGGTAACCGGTCTTTTCTCTCCGTCTTTTATTTAGTTCGTTTTTGTCCTTGGCGTTCTGCAGATTTGGTTTTATTTTTCCTATTCGGGACCATATTGATTGCTCACTGGGCATTTGTTTATCTGCAATTCTGGACAATTCGAAGATTTTCCAGAATATTATTTCTTCCAATACAGTTGCGGTGTCTCTCTAGTCCTCCTTCTGGAATTTCAGTTCAGGGGCGTCCACCCGCACCCCACTCCTTGGCTTTCCTGCCAGGCGGGCCCCGTGGAGACTCTTCTTCCCAACCTCGGCACACGGCTCTGGCAGGTCCGGGCCTCCAGGGTGACCCATGTCGGAAAATACATGTTTACTCTCAGAAGTTTATTTTGATGTGCCAGGTGGGATGCCACTTGATGTATTTCCCACAGTGTCCTACACCAGTTATTAAATCATCTGTTTTCCTCAAGTTATTTGAAACGATACCTTTATCATAAACTTTTGATGTATTTCTTTTTCAATACTGGTATCTTGTTAATTATTAGAATTCTATGTGTTTTAATACCCCCTGGGACAGATCCTCCTCACTGCTCTCCATTTTCACAGTTTTGCTGATCAGTCCTGCATGTTTGTTTTTCCAAACTTCTGTTGCTGTTTTAATTGAGACTGTATAAAATGTATACATTTTTGACTTAGGGAAAACTGGACCTTTTACAATACCACCTCTTCCTTTCCAAGAATATGCTATGCGTGTCCATTAATTTACCTTCTTTCCGTGTATTTTCAGCGTTTCTATGTAATTTCTTTATAAACGAGAAACTCGCACAGTTCTTGTTATTCTGGGCACCTCACCTTTCTTAGTGCTGCTGTGACTGCAGTCCTCCATCACAGGCTGTACCTGGTTATTGTTTGCTTTCATGGAAACTGTTGCCTTCTCAGTGAGGATTTTTTGTGCCTGCCCCTACCTTACTGTTTCCCATAGCCTTTCCCCTTAAGTTTTCTAGGTAGACAGACACATCATCTGTAAATAACGGTAATTTTGTTTTTTCCTTTCCAAAAATTTTACTCTTTTTTTCTCTCATTTGTAATTGCAACTGCTGATACTTCTAAGTCAAACAAAGATGGTGGTATACGGCTGTCATTGTAACGGGACTCTTTTGTTGTTTCACCATGACAGCTATCCTTCGTACAGGGCTTACAGCGCCCAGCCCTGGTCTCAACGGGAAGCCTCACCACCACGGGCATGAGGTGGGTACTGTCCTTAACGCACCTGCAGGAGAGGTGACTGACACAGGGGCTAATGAACTTGCCTGGAGTCACACAGCTGATGAGAGTGAGGCTGGACCCTGATCCTGGCTGCCTGTTGACTGGACTCATCCACTGAGCCCCTGCAGGGCTGCTGTTTCCTCAGGTGAAGGACAAAGCCGTCTTTGCCCAAAGAGCTCAGTTATTTGTTTTTTAACCAGAAGTGGATGGCCCCTAGTTCAAATGCCTTTGTAGCATCTATTAAAGTCATCCTATTTCTTTGTATCCTGTGACTTACTAGAATGGTAGATTGTAGACGGTCCCTAATATTGAACCACTCTTGCATTCCAGAGAAGAGTTGGCTCATGGTGTAGGATCATTTTAATGTTATTTAAATTGCAAGCTATGCATGGCTTCTCCTTTACCCTACCCCACCCCCAGGCTGCAAGGGTGGCCTCCTGTCCGCACTGGAAGGAGGTGAAAGAGAGGAGGCTTGTTGTGTTGTGGTCGGTTCTGAAACATGGATTTGGTCACTTTCCGAGGACCTGCCTGTGGGAGGAAAGAGGGGCCGCAGCCCCAGCCAGAAGCAGGGAGATTCCTTGACCTTGGTTCTGAGCTCATCAAATTTACTGGTTTTTCTTTACTCGTGAAAATTAAAACCCACAATTTCACCTCCCACCCATCTTTCCAGAAGCTGTGTGGGGCCCACAGAGGAGTGAAGCCCTCGACTTGCATGTTAACAAGCTCACAGGATACATTTGAAATGTGATCCAGGCGGACACTTGCAAACCAGAGGTGTCCCGGGGAGCAGGGTGGCGCACACGGAGATGTTGGTAGGTATCTCAAAAGACAGGGCATCAGAGTGTGCTGGTAAAGAGCGCAGACTCAAGATGGAGTCACTTGTGCTAAGTCCACCTCACCAGACAGGACTTAATACCTAACCTAATTGCACTCCCGCACTCCCCCAGGCATGGGACCTTTAACCCCACCCAGCCTGGAATTTCCTGGTCGCACCAGTGAGGTTAACCCCAAAGACCCCATTCATCCCCCAAAGGAGGGTGACTGAAGTCCGACACTATCCGCTCTTTGCTGGATATGTCCTTCCCCTGCCCCCTTTCTGTCTATAAAAGCCTTCCCCTTTCTGCAGCTCGCAGGAGCTCCTTTCTACTCGCTAGATGGGACGCTGCCCAATTCATAAATCATTGAATAAAGCCAGTTTGATCTTTAAATGTACTCAGTTCAATTTTTGTGGGAGAACGTAGGAGGGTGTGCTGTTACAGGGCTAAAATATGACGATTTGAGTGTTAGTGCAGTCATTTTGATGGGAAGGGGCACTGAACCCCGTCATCACCCAGAAGGCAATGGGAAAGGAGAGTTAGAAAGTAAGAAGACAGGAGCGAGGGCTACACTAGGGAGAAAGGCCAGCACACGGACGCTAGGAGTCCCCAAAGGAGGAAGATATTACGACAGGGAAGAGAAAATATTTGGAAAACAGTGGAGATAAAGTTTCCAGAATTGAAGTAAAATAAAGAAACTCAGACTGGAAGGGGCTCACAGACTGTCAAACAGGAGAGATACAGAAAAATCCACACCATTAGAAAGTTCTGGAAACATCCTGAGAGAAAGAACATGGAACAAGAACCTGATGGATGTTGGACTTCTCGACAGCACACAGGAGACCAGAAAGTAACATATTTAAAATATTGAAGGAAACAAACTTTGCCCCTAGAATTTTATATCCAGCCAAATTGCAAGTATAATAAAAGTATTCTCAGGAATACAAGGCTTCAGAATATTTTCCACCCCAAGACCCACATTAATAATACTTTGTATTTCATAAGTAACACAAAGGCAAGAGAATCATCAAGACATATGGAACATAAGGATGACCAAGCATCTTGGAATGTGTTTTAATTACCTTAAACAAACGCAAGGACTAAAGGAAAGAAAAAGGGTGTATCCACAATAACTCAGAACTATAATTCTGGACAGTATCAGTAGTGCCTGGGAGGGAGGATTATGTGACCAAGCGAAAGTACTTGAATGTTAGGGAGAATACGTAACTACAGAGGGTACATAGGGTAAATAAAAAGAAAAAGGAACCTTAAATGAAGGGCAAGGGCCACAAGAATAAAAATAAGGATAAACCAGCGGAAGAGAACTCGTTATACTCAATGAGAGAGAAATTGGAAAAAATATACAGTAAATGGACATGTTTATGAGATGGCCACGCTAAGACTCTGTATAACAGTGATTACTATAAATGTAAGTAAATTAAATTCCAATTAAAAGGTAAAAACAGATTAGATGAAACAATTCCAACAATCAGTTGCCTAAAAGAGATGCATTTAAAGAAAGATACAAAATTTAGAACAAAAAAGTTGGCAAAAGACATACCAGGCAAATATGAAACAAAGGAAACTGGGTTGACATCGTAATATGTGACATTCAAATTTGAGGCAAAAATAAAAATAAAAATAGAAAAAAAAACCGACAACAAAGAAAGACGCCAATGCGTACTGGTGAAAGGGGCCCCGGGATGGGAACGCACATCCACCAGAATCTCTCAGGTATCCAAGACTACGCCTCAGTGAGCATCACACAACATCTGCTAGGATTTCAGGGAGAAGTAGATATTTTCAACAATTGTCACCGGAGATTTTAATTTAAAAATAACAATTTAATAGATCAAGCAGACGAAAATTAGCAGAGACCTCAAATCCTGCTCAACATAAGTAATTATCTTGAACTATTAAATGTGTACAGAACTCTATATCCATCCAACAGAGATGAAAAATATTTACGGAAATAAACCAGATGTTAGGCCCCTAAAGAAGCCTCACTCAATTCCTGTGGCCACATTCCATGCAGATGGATTGCTAGTTCTGTTGGTGCTGCTAAGGCCCCTCTGCCCCATGCTCTAAGAGACCACCCTAAATGGACCTGGTCTGTGGGTGCCTCTGCCCTCCCGCTGCCCCTTGGGTTCAGTCACAGGGAGCACTACCTGATCCTGGGAGGAGGGAGAGTGGGGTCCAGGGCTTTGTTGCCCAGATCCCTCCTCATGGGGGCTCAGGCTGGCTGGGTCTTTTTCTCCCACCTCCCCTGCATTCAGGCCAAAGTGTCACTCAGCTTTGTGGTTCCCCTGCCTCATACCCACACCGTTGTAAATAGTCCCTTTATCAAACACTTCTCAGATTACCCAGTTTGAGTGTGCCATCTGCTTTCTGCCAGGATCCTGACTGAGCACAGACTTTGTTCTCACTCAATAATGCAATTAAATTAGAAGTTGGTAACAAAAGGTTATACTAAAAGAAACACTACTGGAAAGTAAATTACATTATTAAATAACCCACAGGCTTATAACCCATGGGGTTTAAAAAGAGATTACCAGGGACATTAAGAAATATTTAGATCTGGATGATAATGAAAGCATTATTCGAGCGCGTCCATCCACATTTGTGAGACCCCGCTAAGACGGTGCTGTAGAAGGAATTTTGTAGCTTTAAATAGGTCTATCAGAAAATTGGAAGGTTTAAAAAGAAATGATCTGAGCATTTAGCTGAGGATAGAGCAACAGATCAAATCCAAAGAACCAAGAAAGAAGGAAATAATAGATAAGGACAGGAATAAATGAAATAACCAGAAAGATGAGAAGATTAACAAAACTAAAAGTTGGTCCTTGGAAAATATTTTAAAATATTAAAAAAGAAAAATGACAATAAAATATAGACTACAAGGGAGAAATAAATACAGAAACAATAGGTATAAATAAATATGCTGGTAATTAAAAAAACTCAATGAAATGTATTAATTCTTAGGAACATGTAAAATGAGAATTTTGGCTCAAGAAATAGAGAACTAGACCAGATCAATACGCATAATGAAAATGGGAATGATTACGACCACCCCCGACCCAGATAGTTTTATTATTTCTACCAAAAGTTTGGAGGAAAAATAATTTCTCTTTTATGCAAGTGGTTCTAGGAAATAGGAAAGGGAGGCGCCGTTCAGGGGGCTTTGGAGGGGAGGGGAGGGGAGGGTGGTCTGGTGGATTCGCGCGCGCCCTTTTTCCTGTCACGGCACGTGGCGCACAGATGCCACACCCCAGGCGAGACGCCTCCTGCCCGACGAGGGTGTATGCAGATTAAATGGTTAACGGAGCGAAGCCCTTAGGGCAGCGCCGGGCACCTGCCGGGCGCTGGGGCGCGTAGCCCGGGGTCGCTGAGCCGCTGAGCGCAAGGCCTGGGCTGGGGACCGGTCGGCCCCGGAGTCTCTGCGGCGTGACGTCACCGCCCCCGCCGCAGCCCCGGTGGGCGAGCTGGCCGGAGGCTCTGTGGCCGTCGCGCGGCCCTGGTCGGCTGGCTGGTGCAGGTCGGTGACCCACGCAGGGATGCCGGTCAGCCCCTGGTGGACCCGGAGCAGCGTGTGACTTCGCGGTTCAGGGAAGTCAGGCTCGAGAGACAGACGGGGGTGAGGACAGAGGGGGCTGGAGACCTGGAGAAGGGGGGCGGGCGGAGGGTGGGGTCTCCACACCCCCAGGCCTGCGGGGAGGAGACGGCGGGTTGCATCATCCCGCCGGGAGGGCTGGCTGCGATGCTCTGGTCCCCGTCGAGTCCTCGGGCGAAACTCACCTGTCACACCTGAGCCAGCGTCCCCATCACGCCCCCTCCAGCCGCTCCCTGGTGCAAGGAGCCCCCCCTCCCCCCCCATCTTGGTCCCTCTG